CCCCCCCCCCCCACGCCCCACCCCGCCCGTTAACCCTTCCAGCCCCGCGCTCCCTCCCGGAGGAAGCCAAGCCCTGAATTGCAGAATCTCCGAGTAGGAGAATGTTCAAATCGGGTAATTGGGGGCCGTACGGGAGTGTAGAACCTGACACGCACACGATCCGAGGGTGCTAGCAGTCGGGACCTCAGACTCCTCAATCAGGGACCCTGCTGCCCTCAGCTCCTGGGGTCCGGGCCTGGCTCGCCCCTCCCGGGCCCAAGGGATTAACCCTTGCGCGCCCTGTTCGCCAGCGGGGCTCCCTGCCGGGCTTGCGCAGACCCGCCCGCGCGCGGCTTGGAGACCCTCCCCGCCCAGCCCCGCGCATCCGGGAAGCCCCTCCGAGGGCCGGACGGGGGGCCCACCGGCTGCCGTTAACCCTGCGGGCGCCGGCGAACGACCCGGACCGCTAGCGGCCCGGGCGGGATCGCACTTCCTGCGCGAAGCTGGGGGCGCGGGGAGGGCTCTCCATCGCCCGGGAGAGGCCGCTCCCGGGGGCTTTTCCCCGTCCTTCCGTACCATGGCCGGCATTAAAGGGGGACGGGGGGCTGAGCCCAGGGACCACGCGACACACCTGGGAAGACTGATGGCTGCCCATCCCGGCCCCTCGCGCCGGGCGCCGCCGCCGCCTCCGCCGGGAACGCGCTCCGCTCCGGTCGGGGCCCCACGCCGCCTCCCCACCGCCCCGCCGGGCGAGGGCGCAGCCCGGCTGCCAGCGCCGAGCTGGAAGGCCCGACCGGGGGCCCTCCGCCAGGCTCGGCCACCAATTCCCCGGGTGCTGGTCAGGCCCTCCCGAGACTCCCCTGGCCTCAGTTTCCTCACCTGCAAGCTGGGCTTGGGGGCAGGGGGAGCAAGACAAGGCGCTCTGCTGCCCTTCTGCATCGCGGACTGCGGAGGGGCTGGGGTGCGGGAAGGAATTCCAGAGGAAAGGATCCCCGAGGCGTCTGGACTGGCGGCCAGACACAATCCCCGACGCTCTAAAAGTTGTCGGAGACCACGAGCCCAGACCCCTCTATATACCCTCCTCCCCCAAGACAACGAGCTGGCCGATTGGCCAGCATCTCCCCGACGCCCCCTATGTACCCAGGCCCACCTTTCCCAGGTTCCCATCACCGCGCTCAGCACACTAGATCCCAGCATACAGCAGGCGCTCAATAAACACGGACAGTGCATGCTTGAATCCTACACCTCTCTGGCGTCTTTTCCTGCCTCTTCCCTTCTGGCTGTGAGTTCCAGGCAGGAGCCCTGTCCCTTCACCAGGGCACCCCCAGCACCCAGCAGGCCTGGCCTCCACCCCGCCAACGCAGGGTGGGAGGAGCCCTGCGTTGCGAGGGTCAGCCCCAAGCCCCAAAGTCCAAGTGTTCCATCATCCACCCACGATGTCTCGCTCATTCATTAGCTCTGGGCTTGGTTCTTGCGGTTCGGAGGCGGCAGCAAATGAGGTGAGCCCTGCCCTCAGGGGCTAATGGTTGAGAAATGAAACCGCGGCTCGCCTCCCGGGAGTGTCCACTCGCAGCAGAACGGCAGAGATAATAAGGACACCACCGCCCAGCAGCCCTGCGTTCACCGCACTGTCCGGCTCTTCCTCAGGGAAGCAGTCACTCCCATTTTACAGATAAGGAGAGCGAAGCTCAGAGACAGAGCCCAGCTGGGCCTGGACCCCATTCCTCAGAGACCTTTCCCACCCAAAGGCTGGGGACGCCCCTCAGATGTCTCCAGTTGCCTCAGTCACTCACAGTGAATGACCTGCCAGGGAGTTTGTCTAAAATTAATAAGAATGTATTAAAATTTAATTATAAAAATCTCACATTTATTATTTATATGGAATGTTTCAGCTCTTCTAAAAGGCCTGCCTGGGAATTTCTTCCCCAAGAAGGGACTCTAGGAGAGGCTGCTGAGTCGCCCTGGTGGCAGGGGGTGGGGTGGGAGGGAGGGACGGGGGTGGGAGGGGCAGAAGTCTGACAGGGAATGGGAGGGGGTCCAGCCCCAGCACCTCAGCAGCCCCTCCCTTCACTCTGCTAATCCAGACCCTGAAGCCTGGCTCTGATCCTACCACGCAGTCTCCCCAGACCCAGTGCCTGTGTGGTCACCACCGCCCTCACCCTTAAAGGCCGCTTCCTCCAGTCAGCCCTCCATGATGGAGGCCCAGCGGAGTAGTTGGGTTTGGCCTCCACACCAGTTCTGTACTCCCTGGGGCAGGGCCTGTGTCTTTCCCAGCTGTGTCCCGGGGCTAGCCCAGCACCTCACCCCGGGGGTGGGAGTTGTGCGTGAAGCTCTGGGTGTATGTGCAGAGCAGTCACAGCTGTGTGCAGCTGGCCCCGTGCGGAGGGGCTATGCCTTTGGCAATGGTCTCGGTATCGGGGCCAGAGAACCGCGTTTGAGTCTTGACTCTGCAATTCATAATCACAAGATTTGGGGATATTCCTGAGATGCCCCTCTTTTGGATGAGGAAACCTGGGCCAGAGCATGAAGTGTCTTGCCCTGAGTCACCTGGGGTTAGCTGAGGCCTGCCTGTTGGGCTGGGCGGGGGAGAGTGGGGGCATTGCCTGGGTCTCAGACCAGAGGTAGTGCCTCCATTACAGCAGGGGGGCCGGGGCTGGTGGAGACCATGACTATGAGGGACCTTGAGATGTCTAGGGTCCCCAGTGTGAAATGATGGGGCGGGAAATACCCTCAAGGCCCCATCTGGCCCCCCCAGGGACCCACAGGCAAGGGGGGTCCCAGTGCTCTCCTGATACAGGTAGGAACACAGGCTGGCACTCTGGGTGCCCTCAGAGAGAGAGTCCATCCCTGCCCTGGGCGCTGTCCCTCTGGTTCAGCCCGTACTCACAGCCCCATGCCTATTCCTGCGACACACCTGTGACGTTGTCACTGTCTGCCCTAAACTCTTCTCTTGTCTCTTCTAGGTGGTCCAGCCCAGTGGCCATCTTTATTTCACACAAGCCTCACACAAGCCCCGCTTGTTGGCTAAACTGGACCATACCGTGCATCCCTGCCTCAGCCCACCTGCTACCTCCTCCTCTGTGTCTTTGCTGGTGCTGGCCCCTGCCGCCCCGAACGCTCACCCTCCTTCACCCCGAGCCATATTCTGAGCTCCCTGCCGACCACCACAGCCCCACCACCTCCCTCCTTTCCCTATTCCCTGAGAGACTCTTCCCGAGGGCCAGAGACAGGCCCCTCCACCCTTTAGTTGCCTGCTGTATAGCCAGCGCAGCCTTTGGCCCTGTTAAGGAAATCAATCCTATTTAATCCCCATGGTGACTTGTGAGGTGGGTCTTACAACCCCCATTTTACAGATGCAAAAACAGAGGCTCCAAGAGGCAAACCCCTGCAGGTTGGGTGCAGAAGCGTGGAGGGTTGGGGCCAGCTTCCCGAGCTGCCATCCTCCCAGTGGCACCTGGGCACGTGACTGATGCACATAGTAGGTGCTCCCAAGGGCAATGGAGGGAGGCAACTCTGCGTCACAAGTCAAGCCTCAACGAGGGGTTGGTAAATACTGACTGGGCCCGGCCTAACCCTCTGACCACACCCCCACCACCTGCCCTTCACTTGGCACACACTGGCCACACTGGCCACTTTGCTGGTCCCAAGCTCACCCAGCTCACTCCTGCCTCAGGGCCTTTGCACTTCCTTCCCTCTGCCTGGATCTTTCCTTCTCTGACTACCCACCTAAAGTAGCTCCTCTCTCCCACCAAACGATTTCTCATCATGCCCTGTCCCTTTGGATGCATCCTCCGTGTCCATTTGCCTGCCCCCGCCCCCGCCCCTCCACTACAAGAGACACCCCTGCTTCAGCCACGGTGTCTCCATCACTAGGGCCTGTTGCAGAGGCCTCTGATGAGCAGTTGGTGACGCCTGAATGAATGCAATTGCTCTTAATCCCCAGCCAATGGCATCTGCTCTCCACCTCGAGCAGCCTCTGGTCTGCTCTCACGGTCCCTGTCACTCACCCGTCGTCCCATCCCCTCCCCCAAGCCCACCCCCACGTTGGGGGGCACCTGAGCCCGCTTGGTACCCGGCACACACACACCTGCACAGAGCCCTGCCCAGGGAACCCCTCTGCTGATGGGGGTCAGTCCCACACTGGCCCCACGAGGTGTGTGAATCCTCCTACTGGACCATCTGGCCCGGGTGTGTTGCTGCCCTTTGCCACCCAAATCTTGTGGTGCCTGGAAACTGTCGTGAGAAGGAAAGCGGGTCCAGGTCAGGGAGGGGTCTGCTGGGCGCTGAGGCCTCCCCTCTGCCTCCGACTCACCCCACCCTGTGACCCTGGGCGAGTCCCTGCCCTCCCTCAGGGCCTGTGGTGGGTCCCCTGGGCCCTCCTTAGATCTACTCTGAGCTCCAGCTTCCTTGGTTTCTTCCTGACCCTGTTCCCTCACCCTCTTCTCAAGGGGAGGAAACGAGCCGAAGAGTACAGAGGGCAGAGATGGGGCTGGACCAAATCCCAGGTGTGGCCCAGGCAGCGGCCACCCACCTCCCACTGACGGAGACTTGGGCTTCCTATGCAGCTATGTGAACTTGGGCAAAACCCTCAACCTCTCTGAGCTCAATCCCTCATCTAGGGAGGATGGAAAATCTTCAAAGGACGTTGTGAGTGACACGGTGGCCATGTATGTGTATGGGCCCGTCTTGGGGATAGGGCTGGTGAAGGGCTGCAGCCACT